AGAGAGGTAGGCAATTTGCTAGATAGATGGAGAAGAAATGAAGATGAGAATTCAAGCTTGAACTCTAACGTATTTTTTGTTTTATTTAATAAAAAATAAGGTAAGGGTCAATGTTAAATTCTATCGCGATCACCACGAGAGGTGAAAGCAGGGCCGGCTCTATGTATACAAAAATAAGGCATTGGCCTTAGGCCCCCAATTTTAGGGGGCCTCAATTTTTTACCAAGAATAAATTATGTGTTAATTTTTTAAAGAAAATATTAATTATTTATGATAAAAAGTATATATTTAAAATTATTATTTTTATTCTCTTTCAAATCCAATTCAAATAGAAAAAATCAAGAAAATATTGTTTTATTTTCTTACACTCTCTCTACTAATACTCACATTATTTTCTTTTTAAACTCCTTTTTACACCCTTCTTCTTTAAAATTGTTGATAAGTTAGAGTAATATTCTGTCAAAAGTATCAATTAATAGTCAAAAAGTGTTGAACAAATTGAATTGTAAATTCTTTTTCCATTTCTTCTTAGATTTTCAAGCATTACAACAACCATAGTAAAATGTGGGGTAACCAAATTATCAACTTCATCAAAGCTATGGTTCTAACTCTTATATTTATTTGAAATTTGTCAACTTATTACTTGTAGAACTATGTTAACAATTCATATAATGATTGCCCGAGTAAAATAATATTTTTTCAACGTTGAATTAATAAAATCTTATTTAAAACTAATAATTGAAAAAGAAATTGAATAAATCATTTATATATAAAAGAAATATTAGGTAATACTTTGCATTTAAAAATGTAAGAAAAATAAATTTTAAATAAATGCATGTGAAGTTTCTTTAGATTTTAGGCATCTAATTAAGATTTCGCTTTAGGCCTCCGATTACGTTGAGCCGCCCCTGGTGAAAGCCTGAATAGATGTAAATTAAGGGAGTTGTACACGATTAATTAGCTTAGAAATAGCCATATAGGATAAGAAAAATGTGAAAATAAAATTCCAGAAGAAGTCTAGCTAGCCAGAAGAATTGATTAGGCATTTAAGATATTTCTCTTAATCACATTTAAATATTGTGCAAGTAATTAATTGATTAAAACTCTAATTAGAGACTTTTGTAAACAAGTTTTTTTTGGGACTAAAACAACCTTGAGTTTAGTTTATTAAAAACTTTGCTGTGAAGGTTTAAAACATTTTGTTCTAGAATTTTTCCAGAAAATTATTTCATAACTTTTTTTCTTCAAAAAATTGTCCAAAACGCCATTTAAGTAAAAGCTGCAGCAGCCTCTATCAGCAAAGCCTAATCTACTTATGCTTTCGTTGACAAGAGTGTTCTCACTTTTAATTTGGTTCTTCTTTCAAAAATAAATTGCGACAGTTTGATTGCGGAATTTATTTATTTGACATAAACATAAAATACAAGTAATTTTTTATTTTTACACATAACTGGTCTATTTTTATTAAAATAGTATGACGTCATGCAGAAGCTAGCGATTGCAAACTTCGATTCACGATAAAGAAATAACATAGCAAAATATATAGTCTCCACCGTAACGTTATCTTTGTGTGTTTTAGCAGGTCTATTTCAACATGAATAATGTGTCGTCCATCATATGTAAAAAAGGGGCAATATGCATGCATGTGAGAAATTAGTATAGTTGGTAACTTAATAAAAATATAACTAGTAGTTCTTCTATATATATATA